CCGCTCAGAGCTTTCAATTGTAAAGACCTGGTGCCTTACCATGAACTCTTATTACAGTTCAGTATAGGTTCGTAACGCCAAAAAAGCGGGATGGTGATATACACTTCATGTAGCGCTGTCTCACTATGATCATTTTAGGTCCTAAACTGAATAGTAATAAGAGTTCATGGTAAGGCCCCTGACCTGGGCACTACCACTGCGCCTGTCATCCAGTGACAATGTTGACAAAACCCATGCGTTTGTAACTTCGCAGCACCCTTACCCCACAAAACCGTAACGCAGCAGTGCTCACGTTATTGCTTAGCAGCACAAATAGGTAAGATGGCAGTATTTCCCTGGACGAAGAGCTCTAGAACTAGTGCTAATTATTTTTATGGCCTTCATGTGATAGAAATAATTTTGAGGTATGGTTACATGCGGCGTTATTATACCAAGTGTACGGTATATTTTTAATTGCACATGTTTATAGCACACTTGTTAGACAAAACAATATGCGTAGGGCGCATAACAGAAAAATACTATAAATGGTCAGAAATGAATTTATTGTTTCTCAAAATATTCTCCGTTAGCGTTAATGCACTTTTTCATACGAATGAACCGATTTTGAAAACATTTATGCCACTCCTCCGTGACAATCTCTGAAAAATATTTTTCACATTCTTCGACAGCCTCTTCAGGTGATGAAAATCGTCGACCGCGTAACAGGTTCTTAATTTTTCGAAATAAATAAAAGTCACAAGGTCGGGATTGTACGCAGGATGGCTCGTAAGGTCAACGTTGTTCACCTTTAAAAATTCGTTTATCTGTCTGGCCGTGTGAGAACTGGCATTATCGTGGTGCAAGATGATACGGCATTTACGGTTATTTTTACGAAGATTGTCAATAACTTCCAGCAAACAAATGGTCGTATACTAATCACTAGCCACGGTACAATGAATCTCCAAAGCAACAGTAGCCACGTGTCCAGTTTTATTAAAAAAAAAGAAGCAGTCATCCGCTTCGAGGCACTTTGCACGCGCGCCACTTTAGTTGGTTTCGGCTCATCTCGAAAGACCCATACGCTCGATTGCTGCTTTGTTTTTGGGATTGTAACTATAAATCCATGTTTCATCACCTATTACTATGTCCCACGCCAAATATGACGCCCCTTCGTTGAATCTGGTAAGCATGGCATTGCACCAAGTGACGCAATACGTTTTTGAGCCTCAGTCAAATTATGTGGGATCCACCGAGAGCACAGCTTTTTCACACCCAAATGTTTATGTAGTATTGATTGTATTTGACTCATGCCTATGCCTAAAGATGCCCGAATCTCATGGTATGTCACATGCCTGTCGGTTTTGATCATACGGCGCACAGCATCGATGTTTTTGTTGTTCACAGCAGTGGACGGGCGAAATTCGTCACTGAGGTTCACACGACCGCGTTTGAATTCTGCAAACCAGCTATAAATAGTTGTCTTGTATGGTGCTTCATCGCCTAAAGCAGTTTGGAGCCCATGAAACAAACTGTATTCTACAGCCAAAGAGTTCAAATGTTGTAATTACTTTTTAAATATTGTTTATGTAAGTGGCCAGTTTCGGAAACTTATAGTGCGCCCTGTGTATAATTCCAACAAGTCTTTACGTAGATAAATTGATCGCCGCTTCGTCACATATATCTCGTCAGAGGAAAGGTAAAAGGCCACTTTGGACAAAATTGAACCATGTATAAATGATTGGTTTAGGTTTTGGTTTCCATCAATATGTCCAGGTTTCGTAACGATCATTTTCGGCGCTTCAACTATCCAATAATTCACCAGTTTCTTTTTAAATCGGTGCTTTTAGGTAGCGGTGATAGAAGGTGATAACTGTCGTTTTTGTTATTGAGAGAGAATGACTTTGATTTCTAAGAAACCTACATTTGTGAATATGTTTATTAAATATTACCATTTGTCAACGTGAAAGAAAGTGTCGTGATGAAACCTTACAGGTCGAGAAAAGCCACCGTGGCGGCCTATACATAGCCTAAATCCTCTCTTAAGAGGAGACCCATGCCCAACAGTGGGATGTTTAAGTTGATGGTATATGATACGAAGAGGTACCTTTTATGGAGCAGTATATTTATACTTTCTACCTTTTCACTTTCCCGTAACAAAAAAGAATTTGCAGTGGACTGTATGATTGTAAATCGCGTGCGAAGAATACTGGATATTTAAAAAAAGAATAAGTTAAAAAGCAAAAACATTGAGATACTAATATAAATAAATTATAAAAAATACGCCAAAAACATAAGTACAGTTAAAATATGAATTTGAATAAAAGACATATGTAGCCACGTTCGCTACGAAACTCCGTAGCGAGCGTAGCAGCCGCCAATTTTAACTAAAATACTACATAATGAAAAAAATGATCTGTCATTTTTTGTATGGAACCTCATTTTACAGAAATTTGCTGGTATTTATCAAAAAAATTTCGTTTGTAGAAGGACATAAATTTGTGTTATCCTTTATTCAGAACAAATTTTTTTTTAATTGGTTTTTTTTGCTGTAAAAGTCGTATATCGTCAGTGTTTAGTAGAAAGGACGTAAGCGCCATTTTGAAAAAGAAATTCAGTAAATTAATTTCAGGTGTTTTAGGTTTTCACGATTATTTTAAAGTATTTACTTTTAATTTAACTTTAATTCTGGCTTTAAGTTTTAAGTTACTTATTTTTGAGTTAAGTAATAGTAGTTGAGTAACAGATTATTTCTATATCATTTTACCATTTATTACAGACAACTGCCTTTGTGGCGGTACGGTTACCATGACCGGACTGTCACGCAGAGATCCCGGGTTCGATTCCCGTGCCGGGAGAAAGAAGAAGTACTTGTATGAGTTGCATTTATTTCTCTCGTGAGTTTGGGTGTAATTTGTGGTTGTCTATGCGCGTGTCCAAGGCACCCGCGACTCAGGGTTTCCCTAATGCGGGGAATACGCCCACTCATAGGAGTGTGTGAGTATTATTAATATTATTTTGTACGTTTATAAACAAAAATGGCAATGTTGTATGAATATAAAAACAACTAGTAAGCATGCTTCGAACACTTGTAATATCAAGTCAACGTACTGGCATTCGCAGCGGAAACACGCGCCCCGTGGAACGTGACTTGTATTAATTATAAGGCACTTTCCGGCCCAACGCCTCTCACTTCGGATTTACTTTAAATTCTTTTACTTAAAAAAACTATTCTAAAAAATTTGATATATTCTAATTGAAAGAGAGAAACTGCGTCCGTGACCGAACGGTTACCATGCTGAAATGCCACGCAAGAGGTCCCAAGTTCGATTCCCGTACCGGGAGAAATTTATTTATTCAATTTATTTAGTCATTCATTTAAAAACACTTGAAAGTTTACAGTATTTACAATACCAAAACGCTTACAAGTCAAACTGATTAAATAAAAAAAAATACAAAAATTAAATGAAGAAAAATGATATTACACAATTAAATTGGAAAACACTGCGCATAGTATGCTACGCACTCTACAGGACACCAATGCTCGAAAGGTAGTTCACGAACAGAAGTTCCCCGCGCCGGATAACATACTGTTTGTCAAAGAATACGTCTAAATTCTTAAAATATTTGTATGGCCTACATTTTATTTATCTCGTGATTTTTTGTGTAATTTGTGGTTGTCTATGTGTGTGTTCATGGCACCCGCAGTACAGGGTTTCCCTAGATCGGGGCTATGAGTCTGTGCGCGTTATTATTATTTTTATATTTTCTCGTTTTTACTTCACCTCCACTGCGGCCACCCAATACTATTAGCAGAAACAACATTACTTTTATAAAACTAAAGCTTTTAAGTAACTTTTTATGTGCTTACACACAAACAAATTACTTAACACACAAAATGTGTCATTATTAGCACACAAAGTGCTAATAACGACCAATAAATAAGAAAAATAATAAGAAAGTGATAATTATTAAAAACTTCCTACAAAAAATTATTTCAAAATACATTTGAGGTGGACTGTAAAGAACACACAAAAATATTATTATTTTTACGCCTATGACTATAAGTAATTCAAACGGAAATGCTCACAATGGCTGTTTGACGAGCAATCACAGGATGCAGGTTTCTGGTAATTAATGCCTAGTGTGTTGTTGAACTAATATTTTTCACCGACTTCAAAAAAGGAGGAGGTTCTCAATTCGGCTGTATGTTTTTTTTTCTATGTATGTTACGCGATAACTCCGGTATTTGTGCACTGATTTTCATGATTCTTTTTTTGTTGGAAAGAGGGTACCTCCATAGTGGTCCCATTTAATTTTCAAGAAAATCATCCACCTCTTAGAGTAGCTGTTCACGCATGAAGATTCATTTTTATAAATAGCGCCTAAATTTTATTATAAGGAGCAATTATTTTAATTGTTGATTGTGCTATTCTCTAATTGAAGGCGTTTTTCTCTCTCAATATACTTTGAGTAGTGAGAACCGATTTTTATTATCTTCTGTGTCAAGTCCCGTGTAGTGGCGAACTTGGGGATGAATCCGGGTTTGCGCACTCTCCGGTAACCGATTTCAATAAAACTTGGCAAATAGATGTAATTCCACGTACTTTTGAGGTAGGTTTTTTATAATAATTTCGAATTATAATATTATTTTGCATTTTGATTATTAGTATTCTTATGCATATGTGTGTGCTATAAGATTTATTAGACATATTTTTGTGTGTTCCTGACCCATTTGACCCATCTACCTTTCCTAGTTAATTTCAGTTTTGATATTTAAGCCTTAAGCCTTAGAATTTGGTATTTTAGAAATAGAAAATAAAAAATATTGGAGTGTGAAATGCAATATATTATGGATAACAGAATTTTAAATATACTGTTCGATAGAGCTCAGTAAACTGAATAAAACTGTATTTATAATACATTGTCGACATTTTGATCTTTACGCCAATTGTGTGTATAAATTGTGTGTGTAACACAATTTAAGAGATTTACTATGTTACGTAATAATTACTTTTTTGTTTCAGATGTTATGATTTAAAGACAAAACCAAGTCACAGCTATTCTGGTAAGTAAAATTTTTACACCTCACGACGTATTACAGTTTGATTTACTTAATTATCTCTTTACTTCTGAATTAGTCATTGACGTATTTTAAGTAAAAATAAAGAATACAATAAATAAGTAAATAACAGTGATATACACGTAGAAACATCACAAATAAACAACAAAGTGCATTGTGTACAAAGTTTTCAATAAAATTGCTATTAACAAATATGTTTTTAATTATAACATAAATGCGTAATTTAATACTGCCAATAGTGCAAACAAGGGATAAACTATCCACTTATCCACTAGAAAATATACCATATTCTCAGCACAGTAGACTGAGTGATGACTTAACAAAGTCTTCCGCACTCAAGATCTTTCTTTTATACAGTCTAGTAGCAGTAGAGCTCCTTGTGAAAGAGTTCGTCCAGGGAAGTACTGCCACCTGACCTAGTTCTGTCGCCAAATGGTAGTGTCAGGATTAATGTGTTCCGGTTTTTAAGGGTAAGAAGGTTGCTGGAGATATTACAGGCACATGAGACTTGCTAACTTATATCTCAAAGTGGCGGGCGCAGTAGCAGCGAATGTTGCAAGCACGAAATGCTTACTGAGTATGTATGTATCAATGGTATTTTGGTGCAGTAACAATAACTTGAAATAAAATTGATTTTCGGCTCTAAATTGCACATTGTTTTTCAAACAAACCAACGTTTTGGAGCCTTTAATATACCCAAGACTTATAGATAGAAGATATGGAGCAGACTTGTTCTAGAATAGCGACCACGTCAAGGAAAACGTAGTGTAGAACGCCCTGCGGCAAGATGTCGGATGCGGGTGGCACAAGACCAGGAGAGTTGGCGTGCTCAAGGGGAGTCAAAGTCAAAGTCGAATAATCATTTATTCCATGACCATAAGTGACCTCCCTTAGAAGAACGAGCAAGAAACTGCAGGGATTGCTCTTTTATAATAAACTTAAATGCTATAAAAAATACACTTTGAATCATGTTTGTGTGGAAACTAGACTCATGTTGTCTTTCCATACATCTGTATCTACTAACTATCCTAACCTAACACGTAGTCTACAATTTTGTAATATGACTTGTCAACCTTAGAAAATGGTAATCTTAATATATGCTCCGGATCTTATTGTATGGTAAACTATCACAAATTCGAATTTCTTTTTTCCGAAATATCGTTTGTTCAAATTTTCATAACCCCGAAAACCGAATTATAACGAAACCGTTGTTCTTTCAGGATATATTGGATGTTTATAGCAAAGACACGATTAGGTTCGGTTAAGTTAGGTTTAAAAGAAAAAACATTTACATCTCAAAATTACGTTCGAGGTTATGAAAATACGAGCAAACGTTTTTTCTGGAAAATGTCATTGCGATCTTCTGATAGGTAACCACCGATTTCAATAAAACTTGGCAAATAGATGTAATTCCACGAATTATTGAGGGCGTTTTTTTAGAAAAAAGTTTTATTAAGTAATACAACTTTTCAAAACTTTAGTTAAACTTATACGTTAAACTTGTACTTAAACGTTATTTTAACTGCCTCCGTGGCCGAACGGTTACCATGCCGGACTGCCATGCAGAAGTCCTGGGTTCGATTCCCAGGCCGGGAGAAATATGTGTATGGCCTACATTTATTTCTCTCGTGAGTTTGGGTGTAATTTGTGGTTGTCTATGTGTGTGTCCATGGCACCCGCGACACAGGGTTTCCCTAGTGCGGGGCTATGTTGAGTGTGTGCGTTATTATGCGTTATTACTTATGATATGTATGTAGATAATCTTAATATATCTGCTCCGGGACCTTATTATAAAAATGTAATACACATTTCCCTATAAAAGAATCGCGTTTACTTTAGTTATACGAAATCGTGGTACCATGAGATTGGACTTATTTCTGAGGTTGATATTATGTTATCTTCTTTCATAATGAAATATTATGTATATTTTTCCGACCATACAAAATGTTCAAGTAAACGGCGGAGGCTTAAGTCCAACTGATAATAATCAGATTTTGTTTCAAAAAGTAATTTAATTTGTAATGTGTAATAGAACTCGATAGTTAATAATAAATTCCAAACTTTGTCACCCATGTTTTTTCCAGAGTATGTATACTTATGATAAAAATGTTTGGTACGATATGTCTTTTTTATGGGTATTATACTCATCGGTGCTATATTGTAAGATTTAAGCGAAATTTCCATCATTTATGCTTATCTTACTGCGTTAAAGCAATATTCAGCTTAGACGGTCTTATCTATATAGAATCATCGCGTCGATATACAACGAAAATAGAATTTGGAATTTGCGATGTTTTCTTTTGAAGTGAAAAGTTAATTTATTTCTTATTTATTTATTAATGAACCGACAATGAGACCCAATGCCTAGTAATTAGTTTACCCAATGTGCTTTCATAACTTTGGGAGTCCTACTTAGCCCGTGTATCTGTTACTGAATTTTGAACTAATTCAGCAGAGTACATAAAAACGAAATGGTAGAAGAATCTGTCAATGCTTTAAATAAAGTTTTAAGATTTTCACAAATTCATTTATTCAATATCAGACAACATAGTCCATAATTATACTAATACATAGAATTACAATACATTACTAATTATTTTACATTCATTATATTTGAAGTTAAATTATTGAAATTTTAAATAATGTAAAGTTAATATATTATTCATAATTATTAAGTTTATATTCCAAAATACAGTTTCTTTTTTCAAGACTCAGACACGAAGCTGCCGAGCCTTGAACACCACCGGAAAGTTGCCTGGTTATCGGTATTCTACAGGACATATCACGGAGAGTGTGCGATGGAATTGCACGATTTAATTCCGCTTTTCCCTTTTGCATCAAACGTTACGCTTCCACGTTTATGTGGTGAACGGCTATGGAGTGGAACTTCATGCCTGCAGACTTATTCTCTGAATGCTATAAGTTGGGCCTTTTCAAGGCGAGAATGAATAAGCATTATTTAGGTGTACGTACATGCTTCATCGTCGACCTTATCGACACTTTCCACCAAGTGAGATAGAGGTCAAATGCGCACTTATATATTTTATTAAAAAAACAAACGTTTAGTAGCAGTAGAGCTTCTTGTGAAAGCCTTCGTCCAGGGAAGTGACCTTACCTATTTCGCCGCCAAGCACTAATGTGAACATTACTGAATTCTGCGTTCAACTTATGTCTCTAAGTGGCACTGAAACTGCTGTGGACAAGCGTGTCGCTTACCACAAAATGTAAATAATTTCAATAAAAAAAAGAAAAAAGAAGATATCCATAATATTAACCTTAGAGCTAAGTCCAAACTCATGGTACCACGATTTCGTTTAACCAAGGTAAACGATTCTTTTATGGGGAACCGTATACGTTTTTACAATAAGATTCCGGAGCATATATTAAGATTATCATTTCCTAAGTTTTAAAATTACTTTAAAAATATTTCGAGTTCTTTGGTTTTCGCGATTGTTACACATAGGAAATGAAACTATTTTTCCGCATTTAAATCTAGTATATTTGCTTTTTCAAACAAACCGACATTTCGTGCCCTTTACAGGCCCCATGGTCACGGTTGACCATGACCAGGTACGCTGATATGAGTGTACGAATTTAATATCCAGCCGCTTGCTATGAAGTAATCTACATGAACGGTTGTTGAATTTTTTTATAATATTCTCCCTATTTGCCAACGTGGACCATTGTTTTTGCTAAATATTTAATAATTTCAATTTTCTGAAACTGAATTTCATAAACCGAATACCTTACATTCTGATGCCGTGTTGATTCTCTATTTATTTATTTTATTTATTTATTTTACCTTTATTGTACAACACACTTTCCACTGAGGAAAATTTATGGAATAAATTTAGTGATAGAGTGAAGAATACGTGAAAGATGTGGTTTGAAAGAGGATGTGGTGACTAGAATAGAGAAAAGAACGTTGAGGTGGTTTGGACATATAGAATTGATGATTATCAAACAGATTTATAATAGGAATGTCGATGGAAGGATTTTAAAAGGACGACTCAGAAGTACTTACATTGACAAGATCAGTGATGTCATCAAAAACGGCTGGGATCCGAAGTGACAAGAATGAAAGGAATTATATGAAAAGGGTAGTAGATGTGTGTGTGAGCCTCGAGAATTGTGTTTGCTTACCCCTCCTTTGGCCAAGGTCGTGAGCTTATGTATGTACAATACGCCGAAGTACTAATGGCGGACTTAATGCTATAAGGGTTTCTGTACCATTCAACCATTGGACCAAACAGAAAAAAAACAACAGGTTGGTGCTACACTTAAAACAAGAAGAACAAAATAGTATAATTTTATAAAGGATTTTGTATTAAGAGCGGGTAGATTTTGACAATTCATAGCGGCCACGTTGTTGAGGCTACATTTGTCAAATGTGTTGTTTATATTACAGTCACTAAAGACAAATCATCATGGCAAGTTACAGCGTCAAGCAACACGTGCAAATGATAAAATAGTTATTATCAAAATGGGTGTTGTATTGTGGCAACGTCTTTCTTGCTATGAAGTCTCCACTATTTTATGATGGTATACCAGCAGAAGAACAATTGCTCTTTAAACCTGAGGTTGACTACCGGAATAGGTACATTTGTTTTTATTAATATACTTCATGACCGTAACTCCCACTGCTACCTTTATTCCCGGTTCCAGCTGTTATCCCTTCACATCTGCTCAAGACGTCCTTGCATCACTAAGATGTTCGTTTCTTAGTACTGCCACCTTACCTACTTATTTCTACGGCCAAGCAGTAATGTCAACCTTACTGTGTTCCGGTTTTGAAGGGGAAGGGTACTGGTGAAATTACAGGCACATGAGACTTGTCAATTTATTTTTCAGGCTGGCGCATTGTCAGAACTCCTCAGATCTTTGCTTATTTAAAGCTCTGAGTGGGGCTGCAACTGTTATGAACAGGTGTGTAGCTTATCATCATGCACACGACTTATTCGTCCCATCACTTGATATTATGAAAA